CCCACAGGCCCAGCAACGAGCATCCTGTCACACAGCTCATCCCGCTCTGTGTCATCTTGGGGAGCAAAGGGAGGAGAAAGGAAATTATGGGCTTTGTTTGTGTTAGAATCTGCAAATGTATTACCTTCCCTTACTCAGCTAAAGGCCACCATGATGCCCCTACTCTATTTCCCACAGCCAAGCATGTGGATTCTGCTGTTTGGCATTGCAGAAGTTGAGGTGTGAGTGTGCACATGCATGTGCAAGGATGCCTGGGTGACTGTGAGCGTGTGTCATTCTAACTTGTACTCATTTGTGTCAGGAGATCTTATCCTTTTATACTTTGCACAGTTTTAAGTCTTTAACATCTGTCTCTTTCTCTACAATATTTCCAGCTCCCTTATTTTTATTGGTATGTGTTTGCCAAAGAAATAATTGCATTTGTTTTGTGGAGTTGGCACCTGCATATGTGTGTGTGTGTGTGTGTGTGTGTGTGTGTGTGTGTGTGTGTGAGTAATGTCTCACCTTCTTTCCCTTCATTTGCTTCCCCATGTCCTCTCTATTCTGTACCATGTCTCATTTATCATCACTCGAGTAGTTAGTGTTTTAGCTGTATCTTTTCCATTTTTAACTCAAGGTATTCTTTTTAAAAAATAATATTTTGGGAAATATTTTTATATTCACTAATCCCAAATGGGTCCTTTTGCATACTGCCTGTCCCTGCTCTGTTTGTACTTGCCCAGTACATCTTTGTGAAGTCAGTTTTTATTCTTTGAATTTTTTGCTCTCCTTTTTCTTCAGTTCTGCTCCCTCTAGCACAACTTTTCCCGTCTCTCTTCCTTTTCCTCATGCCTCCATTCCTCTGATTTGACACAGCTTATGCCTGACGGTCATGCCTACCTCTGTATTACCTTCAGTTTCCTCAACCACTGTAACTACCTGTAACTAGAGTTCAACCCTAGATTTTCAGTTATTCAGGTGAGTTTGGAGTGAGAAGTGTATGATCCATCTTCCCTGTCTCTGAAGCATCACTGAAGCCATTCTGAACTCCACAACTTCAGCCAGCAAACTTGTCCCTGGACAGCTGTTCACCATGGTAATTAGGGACAAGTATACTGGTATACCTACCATGTAGTAGATGTCCTGGGAACACAAGGATGTCACAGCATCTTAAAATCAGTAATACTATTTCACACTTGAAAAGTCAACTTTCAGTCTGAATAAAATTAAACAAGAAAGGAGGCCCATTTCATCTCAATATACTGGTAGAGAAGATTCAGTGAAGTCCAATAGCTGTTTATGATAGATGGAGCCTGAGGATAGGTTTGGAAGGAGGTGTTGGTTTCTCGGTCCCAACATCATCTGTGGTTATCTGGTCTGGATAATTGTCCTTATCCAGTGTTTGAATTTGCAGAGATTGGTGTAGATGCCTGGAATTCCAGGTTGGCCACAGGGGCAGTATCCCCAGGAGGCAAGGCCCTACAGGACTCCATTGCAGACCACAGGGCCTTCAGAATCTGCCTATTGAGGGAGGAGAAGAGCAAGTTAGGGTGGTCTGAGAGGAGGATGGAACAGACACACAAAGGAAACCACATGCACAAAGAGGCAAAGATAGCATGAGAGAGTAGGGCAGAAACACACAGTACAGGAGCTAGAGGGCAGCAGTGAGAGCTGGAGACTGAAGCAGGGGAGACAGAGCCAGCAGGTCCCAGACAGAAATGTGGTGCAGTAGGCAGAGGTGATGGGGAGACAAACAGACCATGATACGGTTCCAGGACTTAAAACACAGAGACCCAAGGGCCAAAATGGAGGGATCCGCCACTACAAAACTAAGCAATCAAACCATAGCTTGTAGGCTGGCAGGGACAGTCCTGCTTCTCAAACAGCAGCTCTCCCTCCCAGGCCTTGGAACGTTTCCCTGAAGAGCTCCACCCGGGCCTGCATCTCCTTTTCCAGCCTTGGCTGAGTTTCAATTGTTGGGTGAGACTGGGCTTGGACTTGAGGGCTCGGGAGCCCTTGGAGTTGAAGATGGAGTTGTGCTTGGCAGTGGGGCTGGGGATCCTGAATGCAGTCAACCAGTCTGTTCTTACAGCTGTGTTCCTTCTGCACAAACCCTCCTGGTGTCCCTCCATACCTCCATGCCAGGGACCTCCATACCAGAGACCTCCATACCAGGCGTCTCTGCGTACCTCCTCTCAACATCATGTCTCTGCATTTCTCTACCGGTTGCTTACTGGCTCTCCTTGCCTGCCTCTGTGGCTGCTTTACTGTGTATCTCCTTCTTTCCTTCTCACCCTTCCAATTTCTTCTCTCTGTTTCTCTTTGCACCTGCGTCTCCCCATGGCCCTCTGACTCTCCCTCATTCCTGCATGAGCCTCTGTGGGTTTTACACCCCACCTCCATCCTTAACCCCTGCCTCCCTGTTCCAGTCTCCTACCGGACAAGTGTCCTTGTAGCCCTGAGCACCAGCGCAGAACATACTCCAGTGGTAGTGTTTGTCATACAGTGCTCTGCAGTACTGTTCCAATAGCACTGGAATAAATGCACACTGCAGACTCTCAGGGTACACACCTGAAAGAAAGGACACAGGGTCAGAGACACTCCTGGGCAGAGACAGCCACAGCTATCAGTGAGTCCAGAGACAGGGACACCAGAGCTCACCATCCAATCATCGACCCCAGCCAGAGATCCAGCACCTGGTTCCAGGTGTCTGACACTGGGTCGTGATGGGGATGATCCGGATGGTGTCTGATTCCACAACCGGTCTGTTCAACTTGATGAGCATGAGGTCATGGCCTTTCCAAGGTGTGACGTAGTCTGGGTGCTGCACGGAGACACTGGCCTCAATCATCTGGCTGCCTGGTTCATCCCATTCGAAAAGTCCGTGGAGGCCCAGCCCAGTGGTGTAGGATCTGAGGGCGATGGGACAGTCAGTACCATAGTAAGTCCATCCTCTCTAGAAGCCCAAACTCCAGTGCAGGCCCAAATCCAGTTCTATCCTCACCCCCACTCATGCTCAACCTCAGTCCCATCGCCATTGCCATTCCCCCCCTCCACCCCACCCAGACCCATCCCTGGTGCCTGCTTCATCCCCACAGAACAACGTCCAAATTCCATCCCAATGCCCACCCCCAAATAGCCCCAGTTCCTATTAGGGCAATGTTGTCTAAGGTGTTAACTGAGTGAGCCACTAATGTAGGAAAAGCAAGACGAATAGTGGTTCGTATAATATTTTTAAACTCAAAATAAATGCAAAATTCCACACTGCATAAAATATTAGAAATTAAAGGGAAGGCAGCATTTGAGGTGCACCTCTCCCTTGCCCCATGCCCTCAGTATCCTGTTTATTTCAAATGTGGATATTTTCTTCATCATGGATGTTCGCATTAGTATGAATTTGTTTGAAATAACACAGTAACATATTTTCCTGATGAGTGAGCTTTTGCCTAGTCTCTCCGTATACCAAGTTCTGCGGCCAAGTGCATACCTCCGTCCCCATCCACCTGGTTCTGTCCTCACCTGTCTCTCTTGTCTTGCCCCAGGCCCCTTATACCTGCTGAGAAGAGATCCCTTGTCTACACCACCTGGCTCCTAGAGGCTGCACTGAGATCCAAGCCGGCCTCTCTCAAGCAACCCCCTCTTCACCGTTTTCATACTTGGGTTAACCCCAGGTTGGTGCCTGGCTTCTCTTCCCAC